GGCAGCAAGCATTTCAGAAACAATCTAACTCTGTATTTAAACAGTCATTACTGCCTTCTGGGTAAATAACACATGTTTTTAAAATGATCTCTATACACAATAGACGTTAACAAAATAAATCCTAATTGCTCTGAAGGACCCATTAGGCTCTATCAGGTCAATACATGGCAGAGGTTTTTCGAAAGTCACTCACCCTGTTGTTACATAAGCCACAATTTGAAAGTCCATAAATAAGTATTTGCCCAATGAAGAGTGAGGGCTTTGCCAGGGCCATACTAATTTATCATGTTCAACTTCACTGTGAGGGACTGTTTTCAAGGACCCATGAAGAAGAAAAGAAAAGAAAAGAAAAGAAAAGAAAAGAAAAGAAAAGAAAAGAAAAGAAAAGAAAAGAAAAGAAAAGAAAAGAAAAGAAAAGAAAAGAAAAGAAAAGAAAAGAAAAGAAAAGAAAAGAAAAGAAAAGAAAAGAAAAGAAAAGAAAAGAAAAGAAAAGAAAAGAAAAGAAAAGAAAGAACAAAAAGAAAAGAGAAAAAGCACAATGTGATGTGTTTCAAAAACTACATATCTGAAAAGTTTCAGGCTTCAGTATGCCCCTCAAGAAAAGTTCACTGCCCCTTCCTTACCTCAGCATTGTATGAATCACAGCAAGGAGATCTGAAGATCAGCCATGGCTGTGGCATGCCAGGGACCCTTCCTCATCCCCAGCGACCCTCCTGCGCCCTTGCTTTGGGCCGGGGCCCTGATCCTGCCTCTGCTGTCTGTGTGCTGTGGCGGTGGCACCTCAGGACAGGAGCACCCCTTCGGTGTACCAGCCGTGCCTGCCAGAAGGGGGTCCGAGAAGACGAATGAAAACCAATTATGTACGTTTTACATGCACTTATGTGTACAAATATTGTTAAGTAATAATTGATGAGTCTGGCAAGATAAGTTTCAAGTGCAGCCACTCTTCCTACTTAGTCTTACTTATCTGAACTCCTGGTTGCATTTTACAAACTGGCAGCAGTCATATCAGGTGTTGCTAAAGTCTGTGTCACTGTTAGAAATCAAGTTTTACATGAATTCACTTCAAAGTTGTCTAGTTCCATGTAAATTTTTGAATGTGACTACAGTTTGGGATGGTTTTGTTTTCCTGAGATATGTTAAGATGTGTAATTGTACAGGTACATATAAAAATAAACAGTATTGATGTAGGTTAGGATTTTCAAGGGAATTTCAACAAGGTATTCATGGTGAAAAGTATTCAAGTGATTTAAATCTGAATTCCTGTCCCCAGCCCACAGCTTTCAAGTCATTCGGGCACATGAGAAAATGTTTGTCCCTGCTGCTGTTGCACTTTGGTGGGATTCAGGTGCCAGGGGCCCCACACAAATGCCAGCAGTGATTCTCATCCTGCTCTGCCTATTCACAGAGAGCCGCCCTGTCTCCCTACCTACCAGGTCACTCCTGGGGAGCAAACACCTTTTAGTCTCTTATATAGAAGCCTCCCTCCGGGTCCAGTTACGCAAGGACAGTCTCGGTGCCAGGGTTTGCAGTGCTGTCAGCCCACAACTTTGCAACTCAGTTGCACCATGCACCAAGACCGGTGTGCTTCTGCTTCCACCCGTGGCAAGCATGTGTGTTCCCACCTATGTCCTGTGTGTAGGGGAAACATCAATCTTCTTTTGTACCAGTACACGGTGGGTCTGCTGTGCTGGAGCTGGCTGGGGGCTGCATCGTGATGCCGGATGTGATGGCTGTCTGTCCCTGCACCCACAACAGGCAGCAAGGCACAAACTTGCCAGTCTTGTGCTTCTGCAAACCACTCTGTGGTCCCCAGCACCCCCTCTCCCAAGCAGTTCGTTATCAGGGGTCACTGCTAATATGAGCAGCACCTGAGCTAGCACAGCCTCCAGCTGGGGTGACTGGCACGCTGCCCGTTGGCACCTGTGCTGGGCCCCCACCGCTCCCTTCCTGGGAGCTGGGGACTTGTCAGCAGGGCAGACAAAACTGGGATTTGCTGCTCCAAGTAAGAAGGGTGGAGGGCCAGGGGCAGCGTGCTGGGCCTACAACAAGAGGGGCAGGAGGTTCCTGCCCTGCTTTGGTGCACGCAAAGCCAAGGGCAAGATCATTGCTCCCTGGCTTTGTCTCTGCCCAGAGGCTGGGCTGAAAAGCTCTTTGGAAAAGTCAGCTGAGTTTTCTAACAAGTGCAAGGGCAATAGTTAGTCTTTACAAAGGAAGCTCACTTAGTCCTTTTCTAAAGTCTTTTAAAAGTCACAGTATCCTTCACAAAGGCAGTTTGTCCAGGTAAACAGTGTAGGCTGACAATACAGCAGTGAAGGAACCAAATAAAGAAATATTTACCACCTTTTGATTTTATGCTTCAACCAGGAACTGCTGCATCCCAGCTGAAAATGCCTCAACAGGTGGAAGGCATGTCCATGAGAACGCATGTATCGTTAGCTCATGCCCATATCCTCTGGGCTGGACCCACGAGCAGGGACTAGCTGGACTCCCAGATAGGCCTGTCTAGCATGGTGGAGCTTCAGGAGCATCTCTGCACGTGGATTAAAGGTAAAGTGATTTCCTGATAATATTTAGAGTTTTTTAACAACAACAGCAAGTTCTCAGGGGTGGGAAGCACTCTCTCTTTTGTCTCTGGGTTTGGCACTGTAGGTTTTGTGCAGGCACAGCTTCTGTCACTAATAGTGCTGGATGGACATAAAGCACTGTACTCTCATACTGTACTGTAGAGATAAATAACAAGCCTATCAACTGTACTTGCACCGTATTTAATCCTGTTCTGGTTGCTCTGCTACATATTCATAGGAAACAGAAGCACAGAGCAAGACAACAGATGTCTACCTGGCTCTTAATTGGATTTTATGTGTCCCCAGTGTAGCAAATACAGCATTATTTATCAGCCAGGCTCTAAGAATTAGATACATCTGGAGGAGTGGCAAAAACTGAACCAGGCTACAAGACTTGATAGATTAACTGAAATTAAGAGTTGCCCCGTTTCCCCCTTCTTATCTTTTCCCTTCCCACCTATGTACGTGTTCCTCATTGTATGTCAAATCAAACCAAGATATTGCCCAAGGGAATGCTTATAAAAATGAAAAATGCCAGCAAAGAATAGAATTTCTGGTCTTATGGAGCTTCATCAGCATTTTCTAATTGTACAGCAATGACGATAATAAAAAGGCTGCCCTCTGCTCTTAGCTATAATTTGGATAATCAACTGAAAGCCATAATGAAACTTTCTGTGATTGCTTTCTGCTGGGCTGCTAGCTCATGGAAACTCATTGTTGTGGAGAATTAGAAGTTGTGATTCCTGCTACGGGGATATGCCACTGTGTTCCAGAGGAACATGTGACTTTTAATTCTCTTCCATACAGCTTTATTGCAGGCAAAACTTAGAGTGTAAAGCAAAGTAGTATAGGGACTTGAGCTTTTTTTTTTTGCCTTTTTTTTAAAAAAAAGTTGTTAAGCATCAAGGTTGTCAGTGCCAAATGATAGGCATGCCTAGACTGAGTGGACTTGTATACACAGAGGACTTCTGAGGTGGTAATGAGGTCTCTGGCCTTAAAATCCCTGAGGATTTTGGTGGGTGGTAGCAGCAGTCAGTGCTCCACCCATAGGTACAAGAGCCACTGGACACAGAGCGATAGGCAAGCCAGATTTTTACCTCTGGGAGGAAGGCAGGAGCCAAATCGTGCTTTGAGTCTTTGGTTTCTGGGCCCTGGATGCTGTTGGGGGTATTTTGAGTGCGTGAGATTTTGGGTGCTAGTGCTCCCCAGCACCAGAGCTGACCGTGAGCTGTCCCTGTATGCGATGTGCTGTGTGTATGTCCTGACTAGCAGAGCCGGGAGTGCTTCGGGCCGAATGGCCCTTCCATCCCCACCCACGGAGGAGGGGTGAGGAGCTGCTGTGCAAGGCGCTCCTCCCTGGCCAGAATAAGGCCGCTGCCACAGTGGGCGCAGAGCGTGACCCCCCCCAAATCTGGCTTCCGAAGCAGGTCTGTTCCCCTGCGTGCCCTGAACGCGCCTTGGGCTTCAGGAGCAGTGGAAGCCGTTGAAAACCGGGCTGGTAATTTAGGTGTTTGCGAGCGCACAGGTTCAAAATCCTTAGGCCGGGCAGGTAGCTCCGGCTGGAGCCCGCCTTTCCCGGAGCGCCGGGACGGGCCCCCCTGCCCCGGGCAGGGTCTCTGGGAGGCGCCGGCTCCGTTCGCCGGCCGGGAGGAGAGCGGGTGGTGGGACACCTCCTGCGGCCCCGGGGCCCGGGCCGGCAGGGCGGGCAGGGCCGGTCTCCCTTCCCGGCGGCGGCTCAGCTTCCCGGGCGGCAGGAGGGGGAAGAGGCAGCGGGAGTTGCTGCCGTGACCCTTGGACCCGAGCTGATGTCCGATTGCAGGACCCCTGCACGCCTTCCCCCCACCCGGGGTTTCCTCCCCTTGCCCCGTGTCGCTACGGCGGGGGGGAGGCCCCGGCCCCCTCCCGCCGGGAGGGGCTGAAAGGGCCCGAAGAGGAGGGGGCGAAGCGGCAGCAGCGCCGCTGCCCCCCGTCCCGCTTGGCGCTTCGCGCGGGCGAGGGGTGTCAGGAGGGGAGGGGATGGGGATCCCTGCAGCTGACGAGGAGCCGGGGGCGGATGCGGAGCGGTCAGGGCTTGGGCAGCGCTGTCCCCCCCTCCTCGCTCCGCCGCCGTCCGGGACGGGGCCGCCGCGGGTGTCCGAGCGGGCGGGGGGTCGGCCGGGCTGCGCCTCCGAGCGCCGGAGCCGGGCGGGGTTTGGGGGGGGGCGGGGGGCAGCGCGGGCTCCCGGCGGGGAGCATCGCTTCGCCCCGCGGGACCCGCGGCCCCGAGTGGGAGCGGCCCCTGGGAACCCCGGCGGGGGCGGGGCCGCGGGGGGGGGGGGGGCGGAGCTAGTGGGCGTTCTCGGAGGCGTGGCGATGGGCGTGGGGCGGGGCGAGGGGCGGGGCGCGGGCGCGGCGCGGCGCGGGGGAGCCCGCCCGCCCCAGAGCGCAGGTGGCGGCGGCGGCGGCGGCCCCGGCCCCGGCCCCGCTCCCGGCCCCGGCGGTCCCGGCGCGGCCCCGCTCCCGACGCGGCGGCGGCGGCAGGTGCCCGGGGCATGCGGCGGCGGTAGGACGCGCGGCGGCGATGGGCGGCCGGGGGCTGCCGGTGCCGCTGCTGCTGGGGCTGCCGCTGCTGCTGGGGCTGCCGGCGGCGGGGCGCGCCGCCTCCAAGGCGCTGGTGTGCCAGGAGATCACGGTGCCGATGTGCAAGGGCATCGGCTACAACCTCACCTACATGCCCAACCAGTTCAACCACGACACGCAGGACGAGGCCGGGCTGGAGGTGCACCAGTTCTGGCCGCTGGTGGAGATCCAGTGCTCCCCGGACCTGCGCTTCTTCCTCTGCAGCATGTACACCCCCATCTGCCTGCCCGACTACACCAAGCCGCTGCCCCCCTGCCGCTCCGTCTGCGAGCGGGCCAAGGCCGGCTGCTCGCCCATCATGCAGCAGTACGGCTTCGCCTGGCCCGAGAGGATGAGCTGCGACAGCCTGCCGGTGCTGGGGGACACCGAGGTGCTCTGCATGGGATACAACCGCACGGAAGCCACCACCCTGCCGCCTTTCTTCGGGAAGCCCACGCGCCCAGCCAGGGACGCGGCCAAAAACCTGACGCCGCATGATGGGCAGCGCCCCTCGGGGCTGGACTGCGGCCGGACTTGCAAGTGCAAAGCACCCCTGATCCCCATCTCCAAGGAGTCCCACCCGCTGTACAACCGCATCAGGACCGGGCAGGTACCCAACTGTGCCATCCCCTGCTACCAGCCCTACTTTACCCAGGATGAGAAGACCTTTGCCACCTTCTGGATCGGCCTCTGGTCCATCCTCTGCTTCCTCTCCACCTCCACCACTGTGGCCACCTTCCTGATTGACATGGAGCGCTTCAAGTACCCCGAGCGCCCCATCATCTTCCTCTCTGCTTGCTACCTCTTCGTCTCTGTGGGCTACATCGTGCGGCTGGTGGCAGGGCACGCCAACGTGGCTTGCAACCCAGAGCACCACCACATCCACTACGAGACCACGGGCCCTGCCCTCTGCACCGTGGTTTTCCTTCTCCTCTACTTCTTCGGCATGGCCAGCTCCATCTGGTGGGTCATCCTGTCCCTCACCTGGTTCCTGGCAGCCGGCATGAAGTGGGGCAACGAGGCCATCGCTAGCTACGCGCAGTACTTCCACCTGGCCGCCTGGCTCATCCCCAGCGCCAAATCCATCGCTGTGCTGGCACTCAGCTCCGTGGACGGAGACCCGGTGGCCGGGGTTTGCTACGTGGGCAACCAGAGCCTGGAGAACCTGCGGGGGTTCGTGCTGGCGCCGCTGGTGGTTTACCTCTTCACCGGCAGCCTCTTCCTGCTGGCCGGCTTCGTGTCGCTCTTTCGCATCCGCAGCGTGATCAAGCAGGGCGGCACCAAGACTGACAAGCTGGAGAAGCTGATGATCCGCATCGGCATCTTCACCGTGCTCTACACTGTGCCCGCCACCATCGTCATCGCCTGCTACATCTACGAGCAGCACAACCGGGAGGCGTGGGAGCAGGCGCAGAACTGCTCCTGCCCGGGGGACCCCCACCGCCCCAAGCCCGACTACGCCGTCTTCATGCTCAAGTACTTCATGTGCCTTGTGGTGGGCATCACCTCTGGCGTCTGGATCTGGTCTGGCAAGACGCTCGAGTCCTGGAGGCGCTTCACAGCCCGCTGCTGCCGGGCCAGGAAGCCCGCGGGCGCCTCCGTGTACGGCGAGGCCAGCCCGGCGCTGGCGGGCAGGACGGTGCTGCCCAGCATGGCCCCCTACCACAAGCAGGTCCCGCTGTCCCACGTGTGACCGGACGGAGCCTCGGTGACCCCAGCCACAGGGAGGAGAGGGTTGCAAAGACCCTGGGCCACAGAAGAGGGGGTGACAGCTGGGCCAGCCCCACCGTGGCAGTCCTGCCCGGGACCGAGCATGTGCGCCCATGGGGCACAGAGCAGCCGCAGCCCCAGGTGGGGCAGGGAGACGTGCTGCCAGCAACGTGGGGGCAGACGGACAGGGAGGCCTGGTGCCGCCGTGTATGCCCCATTTGGGGTCCCACACCCTGTTTGGGGTCCTGGGGTGCTGCTGTCTGCAGGCCAGTCAGGTGGCAGGCAGCCCCAGAGCGCTGATCTGTGTCCCGCGATGAGCCTCTGGGCAGGTCTCACTGGTGCCGGGGTGAAGGGGAGAGCTGCGGCAGGCAGGGCGGGTTGTGCCCCCCCGGACCCTGGTCGGTGCACGGGCACTGGCACTGAGCTGCTCGCCAGAGCCTGGGGGGGGGTTGGGGGGAGCCGGGGAGAGCTGGCAGTGGGTGCTGCCTCCCTGCTGTGCTGCACCCAGGCCCCCCGGGCAGAGCAGGATGGTGCCCCCAGAGCCCCCGGGCACAGCTACGTGTTGCGGAGGAGAGGGCTGGGGGCCCCTGGCACAACGCTGCCGCTGGCCCCGCTCGGGCAGCAGCGTGCTGAGCAGGAGGGAGGCGGCTGCGTGCGCCGGGGGCTTTGCAGGAGGAAGGGGCTGCAGAGAGGAGCTGCCACCCGGCCCTCGAGGCGGGCAGGGACAGGGCATCCCAACTGTCCGCAACGCAGGAGGGGGCCGGGTGAGCCCAGTGGTCCCCTCTCCCCCGGGCAAGCGTGTGCCGGCTCTCCCGGGGCGGGGGGCTCGGGGCCGGGCGGGGGCTGGTGCCGGTGGGGCTCAGCTCTGCAGCACCGACTCTGGGGTTCGACCCGGCGCTCTGCGATGGGCAGCCAGCTCCGGTACTCGTGGGAGCAGCTCACCCCGGAGAGCCGAGGGGCTGTGCGGACGACGAGGCTGCCGCCCCAGCACGGGGGGGGGGGCACCGCCGGCACTGGCACCACCAGCAGCCTCCTCCTGAGCTGCCGTGTGCGCTGGGCAGGGGCCGATGCTGCTCCGCGCCTCTCGCCCCTGCGGCGGGGCGAGTTCCTCGCATCTCCGCCGGGCCGTGCGGGTTACCTGCCCGCCGGCTGGGGCACGCGGCACGGCGGCTGAGGGTGGCACAACCCACCCTGACAGGGTGGCTGTGCTGCTGCAGCGGGGAGCGTGTGTGTGTGGGGGGGGGGTTCCGAGCCAGGTGACGGTCTGTCTCTCCTGGGGAGCAGCTGGGTTTGCCAGCCAGCCAGCTTCAACACTTCTCGCTGCTTTTTTTTTTTTTTCTGAAGCTGTGCCTCAGTCAGAGACAGTGCTGAGTTTGAGAGCGACTAGTTAATGTAGGAGGACTCAGCAGAGCACTCATACTCCCTTTCCTCCAGCTCCCCAAGCCTTTTTCACTTCCCCAGCTCAGGCAGCAGCAGGGCACTGGCAGAACGGGGGCCTGGCATTAAGTGGTGGTGGCAGCTGGGTTTCGATAAGTAGAATGACTGCGGGGTAGGGGTTTGGGGGGCTGTTGTCAACTTCCCTGAACACAGTGAGGGTGAGGGGCTCCGGCTGCAGCACAGCTGGCAAGAGATGGCTGACTGGCTTCAGGCCACTTGTGAAAGCACCCGATTTTATTTTTTTTTTTCCCTGCCCCAAACGGTGATCACGTATGTAAGCACCCAGCCATTACTCGAGTCCTTTTTGCCCTCCTTCAAGTGTGGCACTGTGACCCGGCTGCTCAAGCACCGGAGAACAACTGCTGGCTTTGCTCCCGCGGGACTGCAAGGATCCGACGTTGTTCTTAACACCCTTGGACCACTTCAGTCAAGAAGGCTTCTGCCTCATTTTAAAACCAAAGCCTGGGAAGTGCGGGGCCGCTCGAGTGGCACATCTACTGATAAAGGTGCTGCCAAGGTACCTCTGCAGGAGTGTCTCTGGGGCGTTCTGGCCGGAGGAGCCAGCGGTGCAGGGACTGAGGGCTCGGCAGGGACGGCTCAGCCGCGCATATCAGCACTCTTGCGACAGAGGGCTCGCTCCCTCCAGTGTGTTGCAGTACTTCATTGCGGACAGAATTGCACCATGTTGTGTTACAAACTGTAAATAGTTGTATTATAGCCTGGTTTGTACATACGGAAGCCGTAGTGACCTTTGATACGGGTTTGGGACAGGTGTGTTCTCGGCAGCAAGGCAGGTCAGGCGCAGAGACGCCGTGGGTAGTCTCGTGTTGTAATCCAGGGCATTAAATGACTCCAACCCGCTCCAATCCACGCCTCGCTGGACTCCTCTCTTTCTATAGTGCCTTTTGTAGATACAGCTAAACACACATCAGGCAATACAATGAACAAAACCATGTCAAAGGTGGTGTTTTGTTGTTTTTGTTTTTTTCCAAAGTGCAACTGACTGTGTAAAGCTTGGTTTCAAGCCCTTGTCTATTGAAAAATGCAAGAGCATTTTCAGCTTTGATCTAAGGGTAGGTAGGTTAATACGATCAACTTGTGTTTGAGCCTGGCTTCTCAGCAACAAGTGGCAGGAGGGGGAAGGAGCCATTGCTGTGTGCCCTGTAAACTGTAGCCAATTTACATGTTGGTTTTTGCCTCTTCCGTTACTGATGCTGTTCAATGTTGTTTAAATAACTGTACTATATTTTGTGAAAAGCTGAAGAAATTTTATTCAAAAAGTATTGACATTAGCTATTTATGAGGACAAAAAAGGTGCCTGTTGTTTTCTTTGCTTCTCCTAGAATATTACCATGAAAACTTCACCGCGGGGGACAGGGAGGCATGTCCTGGAGAGCTGTGCAGGGCTTTTCTCACTAGAGCTCGCCGTGGGGCTGGCGGGGCAGCTACACTTGGGTGGCGCAGGGAGAGCCCGCCCCGCGCAGCGCTGCCCTCGGCCCCCGGGGAGGTCGGGCAGCCGAGCCCTCAGCGCGGGTGCTGAGGCCCCACCACAGCCCGGGGGCCGCGGCCGGGCTCTGCACGGAGCCGGCCGGCCCTGCTGCTGGCTGGTGCCCGTGCCCTTGCTGACAGGGTGTTTCCTTGACGGGCCAAGGTCGCGCCTCGCCGGTTGAAGGGGGTTAACTATCAACTTTTATTGGCGTTCTGCGGTTTGCGCAGTATCGGGCCCTCGCCCTGCGCTGGGATCAGGCCTGAAGAGGTGCCCTTTGATACTTGTCAGGCCGAGGAGATGGTAACTCAGCCAAGCAGGATGCTGCACGCCGGCTTGGGTGTCCGTGTTGCCACCTGGCGTGCGCTCTCTTGTGCTGGGAGGAGCACTTTAGGAAGGACAGCAAGGGGTTAAGGCTGGCTCTGTGGTGACTAATGGTGCAGGACTCTGCTATCTAGTTAGGTGTGTAGGCACACAGCAGGTCCCACTAGATAGGATCTCTTACCTGGAAGCAGCATTCCAGCACCCAGAGATAAACCTGACAGCTGCACAGACTGACTCACCTGATTCCTCATCCCCCCCTCCCACCCCGTGCTCAGGTACGGGCAAAACACGCTGCCAGGGGCTGATCCTATCGCACGTGGGGCAACTGGTTTGGGGTGTGGAGGGGACAAGCACCATCTCAGCCCGAGGTTCTTAGTGAGGAGCTGCAGGCGTGCTCGCCGCCTGCCTCCCGAAGGAACTCCAGCACCTCGCAGGCAGCCTTGTTGTCATCCTCACCTCCCAGGAAGCCGCCATGTCCTCAGCTCCTCAGTCCGTAGGAGTCTGGCAGAGCTGCCATCCACCGCCTACCTCACGTCGCTGTTTTTCGGAGCAAGGGAAGGGCTGTCCCTGCAGGCAGCCCTTTGCGACTCAGCCGCAGGATTCTGTTCCTGTGAGGACACGCGTGGGCGCACACAGCCCAGCCTCATGCTGGTGCTGCCGGGTCGCTCCCGTACTCTCTGCGTCCCGTCGGGTCAACTGAGGCCGTCCTCGAGGCAGCCGCGGCTTCCCGGGGGTTGAGCAGTGCAAAGGCAGCACAATTTCAGGCAGGGTGGCACGGGGAATGGCAGTGTCTGACAGCACGGGGACCATGTGCCTTCTCAGAAGGTTTTAGTATCACAGAGCAGAAGCCAAGGTGGTTGTTTCACCTCAAAAGGGCCTTGTCCACAAAGGCAGCCTGAGACTTTTTTTAATCCTGTGATGACAAACAAGCCCCTGTTCAGCTGGGTAAATGCTCTTTCCCAAGCCGGTTGGGGAGGGGGTGGGGGGGCATGGGACAGTGTTAGTAAGTGCACTACAGTCACTCTGGCAGCACCCTGTAATTCAATCTATATTGTCAAACAACTTATTTGGTGCAAGTGTAGTTTTCCCAGATAACGTTATGGAAAGTCAGGCCTGTGTAATGTGCTGTGGGAAACCCCAGTGCAGGAGAGGGGCAGGAGCCTGCATGGTGCTGAGCGCTGAACACCCGGCTCACCCTGCCCCGCACACGCCTGCCAAGCCCCCGGGCAAGCTCTCGCCTCAATTGCTCTTCTGTCCTCTTCTGCTTGCTCAGGTCACGCTCGACGCCTATTCGCTTATCCAGAAGCGATGGTCTTGACATTTATTCCACCCCTGAAGTGCCTGTCCTCTCAACTGCCAAACCCACACTGAAGTAGTTCTCATAAAATTCCCTTAGAAACAAAATACACAGTCCCCGTACACAACGGGAGAGGGCTGCTGGAGCCCAAGGGCACCACGTAGCCCACACACACCACTAACCCACCGTGCTCGTCGTCTTCCCGCTGGCGCTCACTTTATTCTTGCTGGGCCGTAACAGCTCTTGTCCCTGCAAACCGTATTTACTGCCAGAGGAGCGGGGCGCTGCCCTGGAACTGAACGCAGGCAGAAGTCTCCTCAGCATAGATTAAATATATTATACAGCTGTTGGGTTAAGAGAAACAAGGTACCCGGATCCTGGAGCTGGTTGCTCTTCCCTGCGAGCAGAGGTAGGTGACAAGTGCTGTAATGCCAGTATTCCCATTGTAATTTTTCTTCTGCCTTTTTGAGAAAAGTGCTGCCACTCTAGAAAGAATAGTGAAAGTTACAGGGTATTCCCCCTCCCCCAGTTAATCTTCCAGCAGAA